ATCCATCCATCCATCCATCCATCAATCTATATTTGTGTATTGTCTATCTGTCCATCTATCATCTCCCCATACCCCACCCTTTTGAGGAGATTGGGTATTTCCATCTTGCAGTGGCTTTGTGTTTCTACTTTCAGCCCCATTTTTGAGTTTTTCAGTCAAAAGGCTTTGTAATCTGGCAACTAAATTTCAGTGGCACAACCTCAGGATGTTTTGGAGGCTGAATGCAAATGAGGAGGATAGGCTGCATGGTGCTCTCTGATTGTCCACTCTTGCTTTAGGAGGTATTAGGATTAGGTGTGTCAAACTACATAGAAAGACATATGTAAGCAAATGATTAAAGAGAAAGTGTTTTTTCACTTCCTCACTATCATTGCCATTCTGTGGAATCCAGGATAATAAGGCAAATGACTTTACTGATACTTCCTTCCATTTGCTTACCTATTATCAAATAAAATAAATCTTTACTTTTTAATTTTCATTCATTTTAAATTTGTACACCATACAATCAGCCCAATTCAGTCCAAATGTGATTTACAAGCAAATAAAACCAAAGGGCCCATAAAATTACTAAGATTCCATGGCCAATCATCAATAAAACAGTAACTATGGACATACAGATCAGTATACAGATCAACAATTCTTACATCTTGAAGACCTTATACAATGTTCTGATAGGAGCTCTCCAGGAAGGGTGTTCTACAAGGTGGGAGCTACTGTAAATAAACACTTTCACATCACAAATTGGGAGGATGGACACTATTACATCCCCCATTTGGGCCACTTCTATATGGGGGAGGCAGACTTGAAGATACCTAGGATCCAAGCTATGTAAGACTTTGCATGTTAAAAAACAGTGCTTTGAAGAGTACACAGGCTGCTACATGTTATACCGACTGTATGACTATGGAGATTCTCAATCACCCATCATGGTTGTCGCAAAGGTGCTTTTTCCAAAAAGTAACTGGATTTTCTTACTTTTGGGGGGGGGGGGAACGTTTTGCTTCTCATCCAAGAAGATCCAATCCAAGAGAATTGGAGAAGCTTCTTGCATGAGAAGAGGGAACATTTTCAAAGAAAAAAACCAAGAAAGTCCAGTTGCCTTTTGGAAAAAACACTTTGGGGTATACCAACTGTAGTGTAACTTAATATTTGGAAAAGGCAGCCCATATAAAAATATGCTGCAGGAGTTCAATATAATAACAATGAGAACATAAATTATTTTCATCAGGATCTCCCACTTCAGATAGGGCACCAGGCAAACAAGAGTTAAGGCTAACTTGACCTTGACCTTAACTGTTAAATCCAGTAGGTCTCATGAATATAAAAAGAGTTAGACTTCATTGAGACAGTAACACCCCAATCATTTATAACCAGCCCTGATAGCCAGATAGTTTCTGGACAGACAGCAACTTTGTCTTAGTAGGATTCAACTTTCAGACTTTTACAATCTTCAGGCGCCAGGTCTACATTACCACAGCATCTCCAAATTGTTCAGTGCAGTCATACAATTTAATATCAACACCTGCAAGTGACATATAACTTCTCCCATTTGTTTCCTCTATAGGTTAAAGAATAGGGATGAAGGGGCCAAAGCATGCAGCATTCCACATGGGAGTGTTCCTAGGCCAACCTCTCTTCTCCGCCCCTCCCCCCTGCAGGGTGCACCCTGCACCCTCCCAAGCCCTGCACCACTTAGGAAAGAGTAGAACCATTGGAGAATCTCTACAATAAAGCAGGCTATCCAGAACAATACCATGATAAATGTTAAAGGGGGAAAAAAACACTGTCAAAAGTACTAAGAAAGGTCACCCAAAGTGAGTACACCGATTTCTATCCAATGTCCAGGCTAAAACCTTGACAGATTGGGCTCTGGGGAACTCTATCATTGAAGTTCCACCACTTTTCTTACAAAGTTTGAAGTCAGCACAGTATTTGTCCAAGATATCCTGATCCAGGGAATCCTTCTTCAGGAGATTCATAGCACCACCCTTCTGAAAACATTCAACAGAACTCACTCTATCAAGGAGATACTGAATGTTTTCTTAACACCAGCTCCTCCCCACCTCGCCCTGCTACTAGCTATCCAAAGGACCTCATGATAATTGGGGAAGTACTCCAATTATGAGAAGTACTCCATCCACTTCATCAGAGTCTACAGACCAAATAAATGATACGTGACATTACAAGATGCCACCACTTCAGACACTGCCTCGAAAGGGTCAAGCCTCTTGAATATGAGCGATTTTTCTTAAGCAAACATGTCACAGGGCAGCAGCAGATCTTTCTATCTGCTATTTCCCCCAGGGAGCAGGCTAGCTTAAATAAAGCTGCTGGACAAACAACCTGCTAATGCAATAAGTTCGCAGTAGTACTGATGCTGGATGCAGACTCAAATTGTTTAATCAAGTTCAATTTTGGCTTTTTCTATCAGTCATCTCATCTGCTTCTTTGTCTCCCAGAGCTCTTTATAAACCAAGAGACTTCCGGATTGGTGACAGAGACTACTTGAGGGGCAATTACATCAAGTGTGTGGCCATCTTCAACTCCAGCTCTCAACCAAGCACTCAGCAGAACTGCCCTACAGAATCTCCCAATCACTGGAATCTACTATGAACCATCTTGATCAGCCCATCACCCCTGCAATGGTCTTTGAAGGCAGGAAATCTAATATGGGTCAGGAAGTGATGTGATCTTAGCAAAAGATGAAAGTAACTTCTTCCATCTTCAGAGCACACATCAACTGCTCAAAAAAAAAAAAAGGAAACAACAAACATGTGTCCTTTTGTATGTGACAGGTGAGACATCACCTGGGATAAGCTCACTGCTGTTATAGAGGCCATGAACGCCTGAGCCTTCCCAGATTACTCCCATCTCCAGCAAGAAGGTGGAAATCCTCCAACATCAGCCCACCAATGAGGTTCAGAAAGGGACCCTGTAAGGTAGCAGGGCAACCAGTATGTAAGCAAGAAGGTCAACCTGTCAGATTTCAAGTTCTCACTCAGTCTCTGTCACTCGAATAGAAGCCAAGCTATCTTTCATGATCCTCACTACTCATCCTTCCCAGCTTTAGCATCACAGAATTTACACAATTATAGTTTCCAACATCCTTCACTCCACACCATGTGGAGTGGCACTGCTGGGAATCATATAATTCAGTAATATCTAAAGGGATGCTATCCCCATTCAGGGAGAATATGAATTCTGAATAACTTTTTTTTCCTGCTCACTATGTTGGTTAGAACTTACAGAAGGTAATGGGAAACCATCCAGAAGACACCAAATTGTACTACTGCTTCTCTAAATGATGAAACAGAGAGCCAGTTCCCAAAACTGGCAGACAGAAAATTAAAAGGTGGTATAGTAGGGAAAGGAAGAAATTGGAAGAGAATGGAAGCGGGAGGAATGATTTTTCCAAATAGTTCCATTACATTAAAAAAAAATCAGAAAAGGTTGTATTTGAGCTACCCAGGGCAATGGAAAGACCAGCTGCAGCTTCCATTGACTCGCTATTGTCCCAGAGCAGCCATCTCACTCACTTTCCTGATTTCATCCTTTGGGAAGACCAGAGTGAGAAATGAGTTCATTAAGTGAACTTTCCCCTAGTATTCCCATCCAGAGAGGGTTTTTAAAAAAAGCCACCCAAACAATAGGGTGATAGAGTGGAGCAAGGACCGTTTCCTCTTTTTCCTTGCATGAACTGGGTCCAGGGGAGGGTATAGTAATGAGTCTCAAGCTGGAGTTTGACATGCTGGCTGCTGTTGTGCTCTGAAAGGAAGGAGCAGCCCCATCCTGTTCATTAGACTACCTTGAAAGAGCATGATCTGCTTATCAGCTCCCCTGCGGACCTCTTTCTGGAATTTTGTCATGTTTAGGGGAAAAATCAGCAGTAAGTGGGAAGTTCACACACACACACACACACACACACACACACACACACACACAGACACACACAAATTGATATGGTGCTAAACCTACTCCATAATCAGCTCTATATTGTTGAAACAATTTCATCATAATGAACTCCACTAATAATTTGTCATGTACAAATGTCACTGAAAAATTAAATACTTGCATATTCTTTTGAACAATCTAACAAGTGTCACCCTTGAAAGAAACTCTCTAGCTGAACCTTCCCCAATGTAACCCCTTACCTCTTTGCTTGGTACTACAGCTCCCAGAATTTACAGCTGGAATGCTAGTTGGGGATTCTGTAAGCATTCTATAGCTCATATGAAGGCCACCGAGTTGGGGAATATTTTACTAGCTCAGACACAAACATATATACGTTTACAAGCGATCTTTATTATTCTGCACACAGTAGTAAAACCTCTTTCTTTGTCTCTTCCATCCCCAATTTTCTTACCCACTTGTTATTATTTTGCATTTCTTTCAATCTTTGGCTAAGCTAAAGTGTCCAGGAAAAAGGGCTAAGACTCAACAAGACCGGGTTGAGGCAAAGCAGACACCTTGGGTTAAGCATCACTCCCTCTGTCCGGTTCCCATAGCAATCAGAGACATCGGTTGCCAAGGCAACAACGTCCTCCCTCCCAGACAGTATCAGAGCAGAAGTACCAACTCAGCTGCGGCCAGCTGTATCTGGAGGAAAGGGTGTGTGTGTTTGTGTGTAAGAGAAAGAGAAAGAGAGGGAATGGCAGAGAGAAAATGACACAGAGAGAGGGAATGAAAGAGAGAAAAAGATGGATTCCAAGAGAAAGAAAGAAAGAAAGCTTTGCCATGAAAAAGGGAAGAACTGAAAACTCCCAATCCCTTAGCCAACCTCCGGTCTCCACATGAAAGCCTCGCATTGTTCCTCACTAACCATTCCGAGCGAGGAAGTTGGGCACTTTTCCTGAATCTTTTTCCTTCTTTCTTTGTTTCCCCCGCGATCGCTCCCGCACATCCGCGCGCAAGACGGAGCCAGCCCTCGACCACGTTCTCGCCTCGCCTCGCCCCGCGTGTCTGAGGCGCTGGCGCTCGCCCTTCCTGCCGGGGCTTACTACCTTCAATACAGCAGAACCTCCAGAGGCCGGAGTGGGTGAGGTCGCCCTTCACTTTTTTCGGCTGCCTTTCCGCCGTCTCGTCCGTGGCTGTGACATTGGTCCCGTTGCAGAGGTTGGCGCTCGAGTAGAGCCAATAATCGGTGCCAATAGCGATGGTCATGAGGCTGAAGGCGGCGAAGGCACCCACCGTGGTCAGCAGCATCTGGATCCCACGGTCGCACCACACCATGGTGCTTCATGCTCCACCCGACGGGCTCAGGGGGCAGCAAGAGACAGACGCAGTCGAGCACTGCCTCCCCCCCGCCGCGCCCGAGCGGTGCCTTCCCCTCCTTCCCGCTTCTCTTTCTCCCCCTCGCCTCCCTCCTTCCATTCACCCAGGACGTGGCAAAGGAGCCGAGACATGGGCGGAGGGGAAAGGGGAGGGCGCGCCAAAAGCTTCGCGCCAAAGCCCAGCGGGGGAAAAACAAAAGTGGCCCCCGGAAAGGTCGCCGCCCTTTCAGGAGTCAGAGGAGCCGCGACGTTGCCAGCCGGCGCCCCTTCCGACCCCTGGGGCTCCTTCCCCTCGGGGCGCTCCCTCGCCACTCCAGCGCGCCACGCGCCCAGCGGCACACGCCGCGAGTTGCCTCTTCCCGCCGCCTAAATTCGGCAGAGGCAGAGGAGGCGGGCCGCCTAAAAGCCCCTCGAGACTGCTCGGGCTCCGCCCCTCCCTGAAAGGAGAGAGGGAGAGNTGTCTATTTCCAAAGTATTGGCAAGTATCACTAAGAGCCTTGGCGGCCCAGTGGGTAGAGTGCAGTAGTGCAGGCTACTTCTGCTGACTGCTGATTGACAGCAATTTGGCAGTTCAAGTCCTACCGGCTCAAGATTGACTCAGACTTCCATCCTTCTGAGGTCGGTAAAATGAGGACCCAGATTGTTGGTGGCAATATGCTGAGTCTGTAAACACTTATAGAGGGCTGTAAAGCACTGCGAAGTGGTATATAAGTCTAAGTGCTATTGCTGTGGTGCTATTTCTCCCCTGGTGTCATCTGCAAATTTGATGGGTTCCCCTTCTATCCCCTTTTAGATCATTTATGAAGATGTTGAAGAGTACTGAGCCCAAGGCAGAACCTTGAGGATCCAACTGCATATTTTCCTCCATGTAGATGTAATTCTGATAAGGACTACATGGTCCTTAAGTGGTTCTGTCTATCTCACATTGTTCTATCTTACCAAAAATTAGGCTGCCGTCTACTTTGTCAAATGGCTTACTGAAATCCAAGGTTATTTTATTTATTTAGCGCATGGTATCTACAGAGGTTATGCAATCAGTGTTATACAAACTTAGTTTAAATATAACATCAACATACAAACAAACACATCTGCACAATATGATATGTGGAAAATAAAATATAGGAGATAATATATAAAATTAAGGTAAAACCATAATAAAATCACCATAATATGGAGCCATATAATTGCAATGGGATAGATGTTATTATTCAATATCTAAGGAAGCTAAACATCTAGATCAGTTATGACAAACCTATGGCACACGGAGCCATTTCTTAGGACATGTGAGGCATTGCCCTGTCAGCTCCAGCGCACATGTGCGTGCTAGCCAGCTGACTTTGGCCTTCTTTTAAGATGGTTTTTTGCTCTGCGGAAGCTTTCTTGAAGCCTCTGGAGTGCAAAAAACCAGCTCTATGGGCAAACCGGAAGTTCGGGAACAGACCTCTGGTTTGCTCATAGGGCAGTTTTTCACCCTCCGGAGCCTTCAAGAGGTTTCCCTGAAGGTTTCGGAGGGCAAAAAACGGCCCTACAGCCAAACCGGAAGTGACTTCCAGTTTGTTCGTAGGGCCTGTTTTTCGCGCTCCGGAGGCTTCAGGGAAGCTCCTGAAGCCTCCGGGGGGTGGGGAGACTGTTTTCACCCTTCCCAGGCTCCTAGAAAGTCTCTGGAGCTTGGGAAGAGTGAAAAAAGCTCACAAAAATTGGGAGGGAGAGCTGGTCAAGCGAATGTGTGCATGGGGGGGGGTGCGTCATGCGCATAGCATTATGAGTGTGGGCACGCCCATGCATGAACCCCCTGCACTCCCCCTGCTTTTGGCACGCGATCCAAAAAAGGTTAGCCATCACTGGTCTAGTTGCTTCTGATGTGNTTTTTTTTTCCAGCTGAGGGCATTCTACACCTGTATGCAGGCACTTTACCCAGCATGTCAATAAATTTGACATCAGATGTTGGAAATCTTTTGTCAAGATGCAGCCTGGCAGTTACTTAAGTGTTCTACTACACCACTGCGTATTATCAGAAGCTACAGGATATCACCCTTTTGCACCTGCGTTTGTGTGATGGCGAGATTAAAAAAGAAAAAGCATTAAAGACCACATGAAACCACAGCAAGTATGGATGCCCTTGTATAGCCTTCGGGATGAAAGCAAGGAAGCTTACAAAAAGTAAAAATAAAATCCCTTTGTGCTATTATGAATGAACAAATGTTTTAAACACTTTTAAACCCTTTAGCTGACTTTAAAGAAGTTTAAGCAAATATTCTTCAAAGTGATGATAACTGGAACAAAGCCCATTAGGCAAAGCTAAATGAATTCTGCTTCAAGGCATTGTGATACATTATCAGTGACTTCCTTCATCCCTGGGGAAATATTTCAGTATAACTGTCAATCACTTGCTTGAGTGTTTTGACTTGCACCAACTGCATCATTTATATTGATTTTTGACAAATGACATCTCTCTTTCTGAGCTATTATGGTTTTGTTTTCAGGCCACATTTAATTGTTTGAGTATTTTTCTTCCTAAAAAAAAAAGAAAGGCAAAATGTTTATTCTCTGAAGGCTGTAAACAGAGATCTCAGGTCTCGTTACTATGACAACCCCACAAGATACAACAAGCCTAGATTATCTCTAATGACAGACGTGAAGTTTAAATTGCATATTCTGAACAAACAGTGCACTGTTGACCTTTTATTGAAAAATGGAATACAGTATAATTAGCATAATGTCCGATTAAAACAAGAAACTCATAAAATAATATGCTTTAATCATTACCGCTGTCATTAATCTAACAACCTATTTGCCCATGCTGAAAATTCTGAATGCATAAAAGATTTAGTTCGGTGACATTTCTGAATATTGATTGTGATATAATTTGAATTCAAATTTGCTCCACAATCAGAAACAAAAAATAAAATAAAATAAAGGTATTGTGAGTATGTATCATATTCAAATACTGTACATCCTAGTTGAAAAGTTGCAGACAAGTGTGACATCACTAGCGCAATATAGAGTGGTACTATCACTTGATGTAATAACCTTGATGTTCTGTTAATGCAGCCTAGGACTACACTGGCTTTTTTTATTTTATTTTTTGTTTCTGATTGTGGAGCAAATTTGAATTCAAATTNAAGGACCAGTGGCGGGTTTCAAAAATTTTTGGAAGCTCTTCTGTAGGTGTGGGCTGCTTTTCGGGTCCACTGGTGGAACCTCTTCTAACCGGTTCGGTAGATTTGACGAACAGGTTCTACCGAATAGGTGCGAACTGGTAGGAACCCACCTCTGCACACGGTACACCCCGGTATGGGCATACTGGAGCCTGCCCGGAGCAATGGATATTGTTCTGGCATGGTGCTCCGAAGGGTGCACTCCTCACCTGTCTTTAAACCCTTCGGCGCTTCCACGCATGCATACGGCACGTACAGCACCTGCGCAATGCTCCGCCGAGCAGCTGGAACATCGCAGTTCATGTAGAGGATGCCGGGCCCCGTTGCAACCGTACTGGTTGCAATGGGATCCGGAACCCACCACTGCACACAACACACATATGTTTCCCTCCCTCCCACCTGACACACACCATTCCCAATGTATTGGGCACATTTATCCCATGCAGAAGATTCATGCGATTGCCAATGGGGAAACGTAGCAGCCAAATGTCAAGAGGAAAAGGAAACGTAATGCAGGCGACCCTCGCCTTGCAACCGCGACCGATCCCCAAATTATTATTATTTTTGGCAAAAGTTTTTATTTTATTTTACAGCGTGCAAAAATCCCAATATCAATTGAACAGTATGTTGCCTGGGTGCAAATCATTTTAGGAAATAATAATCACAGTGTTTACAGCAATATGCATTACATTAATGTCAATTACGTTAAAATGAATAACAGTAATAATCATACTATTTGTTTAACCAAGTTAACGTACCTTCCTTGTATCACTAATCAAGGCTGGCTGGGGAATTGTGGGAGTTGAAGTCCACAAGTCTTAACGTTGCCAAGATTGGACCTTCCTGTTTTAAACGGCGCAGAGGTTAAGATGATTAAACACTTCACGCCTCACTCTGTAGGTGAATATAGAATTACAGATAACCAGGCCTGTAGTTTCCCAGACCCTGGGCAATGCCCTCAAAACATTTCCTATCATTTCAAGGGATGGGCAGAATGCCTTCCTCCAAGCTGTGCAAGGCGGTTATGGCGCCGTGTGCTTTTTATACGGAGGGAATTTAGGGAAATGTTTTTGCAATTGTTCCAAGGATAAACAAACAATCAAACGCGCTGAACTGGAAGCCAGTAAAAAACCGGGTACGCCATAAAAACTCAGGCGGCAGAGCCATAAAAAAAAATACGATTGCTTTATCCAAAGCTTGCCTATGAATGTTAATGACACTTGCAAATGCTGGTGCTTATCTTAGGGTGATGCGGTTTGCGTTTAAGATACGCGCCACTGATGCTTGATATAGGTGACACCAAATTGCCCCCCCCTACCGAAATATTACAGTGACATTGTAAGCCTCGTACAGCCTCATTATATGCAGATGTTTCCTTTCTCTTTATTGCCGCCTTTATGGCTGCAGGGGGTCCCTGAACATCAGAGACAGAAAGCTGAGATTGCTATAGGACAAGGGTGTCAAACTCGATTTCATTAAGGGCCGCATCAAGGTTGTATTTAACCTCGGGGGGCACTGGGGGGGGGCAGCTCAACCTCACTAGTGTTGAGGTCACCTGTGGTGGCCCAGGTGTGGCTAGGGGGGAATCCTCCTTTAGCCTTCTGCCAGTGAAAATGGAGCTCGGGAGGGCTGGATGTAACAGAGGGCTGCTGGAGGCCATCACAGCTGAAAACGGAGCTCGGGAAGGCCGCATGTGGCCCTCCCCAGCTCCGTTTTCACCAGCAGGAGCACTACGGGCCGGTCTTTGCTGTCTCCAGGGCAACCCCACAGGCCAAAGCTAAGTACCCTGTGAGGCGGATCTGGCCCAAGGGCCTTGACTTTGACACCACTCCTATAGG